TAACCTACTTTCTTACTATCACCAGCATGACTCGAGTCATCGAGGTCTCTCACTGGGGTAATATTGCTGTGGAAGAAAATGTGGACTTGAAGCACACAGGGGCTGTGCTTAAGGGACCTTTTTCACGCTATGATTACCAGAGGCAACCCGATAGTGGTATATCCTCCATCCGTTCTTTTAAGGTATGGAGTTTTAAGCTTGGACGTTGGTAGAAACTATGACTTTATCATTTGTTCTTTCATTTACTTTTTGAAAGTAGCTAAATATGGGCAGTTGTTTAAGATTAATTGAGGTTTAAGTGGTTGGGTGACAGGGTTAGAACCAAGAGGAAGAATCTTTTTTTTTTTTTTTTTTACTGAGGTGGAAGCAGATGTTTTAAACTACAGAAAGTTTGACTGAATTGAGTATTCTTGCTGGCAGAATGACATGCGGATGACAGCATCTGTGTGGGATAAAGTGATAATAGGAGACCACAGGACTTGTTTTTCTAACTTAAGGAAGGAAGATTCCCTTTTCAGGATGAGTCCTGAATTCCCACAAGAACTGGGGCAATGTCGTAGACACTGTAGTTTTTCCCAGCCTGTAGCCAGTGCTGAGCTCAAAGAAAAGATTTAGTAAATCTTTGTTGAAAGAATAAATGAGCCCTAGCTGTTTGTCTCAGTGGATAGAGCGTTGGCCTGTGGACTAAAGGTCCCCACCTTGATTCCTGTCAAGGGCACATGCCTGGGTTGTGAGCTTGACCCCCAGTAGGGTCATGCAGGAGGCAGCCAATCAGTGATTCTCTCTCATCATTGATGTTTCTGTCTCTTTCTCCCTCTCCCTTCATCTCTGAAATCAATTAAAAAAATGTGTATATGTATATGTAAATAGGCAGAGGCAATATTTACCTCTGTATAAGAAAATATATATACATATACAAGAAAAATTTTACTAGTCACATGCGTATAAAAAATGCCCTCATTTATATAACTAGGTCATGTTTTTTTTAAAGAAAATTTAAATAGAAAAAAGAAAAACATAATACTACCCTTCATAATTAAAATTGCTGACATTTTAATATTTTTTTACACTCTTTTGAAAAAAACCAATTGATCATACTTTATACATAGTTTTATCTTTTCGTCTTATAAATAAAAAAAGTAATTGAGCCCTGACCGGTTTGGCTCAGTGGATAGAGCGTCGGCCTGCGGACTCAAGGGTCCCAGGTTCGATTCCAGTCAAGGGCATGTACCTTGGTTGCGGGCACATCCCCAGTAGGGAGTGTGCAGGAGGCAGCTGATCGATGTTTCTCTCTCATTGATGTTTCTAACTCTCTATCCCTCTCCCTTCCTCTCTGTAAGAAATCAATAAAATATATTAAAAAAAAAAAGTAATTGATCATATTTTATATATAGTTTTATCTTTTTTGCCTTACAAATGAAATCTTATAAGCATTTTCATGTACTTATATATTACAGAAGGGTTCGCTGTATGAAAAATATATTACATTTTCTCCCCTTGATTATCAAAATATGCTTCCAGGTTTGGAAGCTACAATAAAGAATGTAATGTGGAGAAAACCTTTCTATAACCTTGCCTGTCTCCCAGTTATTTGATGTAATTTCTTCCATCTTTAGTTTCCCTGTGTAAAATAACATTCAGATGTTTTTACCTTTGTTCTGTCTAGGTAATTATTATTCTCTTTATTATCTACTTATAGAAGAATTTGACTATTGACTTTTTTAGAAGTAGATTTGATATCGAGACATTTTGAAGCCGTGGGGGAAAAGTTAGCCTCTAGATCAGTGATGGCGAACCTTTTGAGCTCGGCGTGTCAGCATTTTGAAAAACCCTAACTTAACTCTGGTGCCGTGTCACATATAGAAATTTATTGATATTTGCAACCATAGTAAAACAAAGACATATTTTTGATATTTATATATTTAAATGCCATTTAACAGAAAAATCAACCAAAAAAATGAGTTCGCGTGTCACCTCTGACACGTGTGTCGTAGGTTCGCCACCACTGCTCTAGATTGTTTATAGTTTGGGGACTATTTTAATTGAGTAGTACTGGGATGAAGATTTTGGTGCAGAAAGTATTTCTCTATTTAGGATTAATTCCTCTGAAAAATGTATGTTCATTCTCTTGCAGACCATTCTTCCCGCTGCTGCCCAGGATGTTTATTACCGGGATGAGATTGGCAATGTTTCCACCAGCCACCTCCTTGTTTTAGACGACTCTGTAGAGATGGAAATCCGGCCTCGTTTCCCTCTTTTTGGAGGGTGGAAGACCCATTACATCGTTGGTTACAACCTCCCAAGCTATGAGTACCTCTATAATTTGGGTCAGTCTTAGTAAGGGAGTGGAGAATGGAGAGCCATCTTTTTCTTTAATTTCTTGCAGTTATTATTACTATTATTTCACAATTGCCAGTCCTTCTAGATGGGGAGAAAGAATATTTTCTTATCATTCTTAAAAAGGCTGAGATATTATGCCAGGCCGGCGTGGCTCAGTGGGGGTTGAATCTTTGGCATTTTCTCTTGAATCTTTTCTTCATTTAAAACTTTTCTTCTTGCCAAAGCTGGTTTGGCTCAGTGGATAGAGCGTCGGCCTGCAGACTGAAGGGTCCTGGGTTCTATTTTGGTCAAGGACACGTGCCAGGCTCATCCCCAGCCGGGGGCGTGCAGGAGGCAGCCAATCAATGATTCTTTCTCATTGATGTTTCTATCTCTCTCTCTCTCCCCCTTCCTCTCTGAAATCAATAAAAATACATTAAAAAATAAAAAATAAAACTTCTTTTTACTTTTTATCATAAGGCATTATCTGTTTATTCATTCACATTCCTTCTCGGTTAGCCTTCATTTATAAAATGATTTTTTTCTTTTATTTCTAATTTTTTTCCTGAGTTGTGAAACTTTTCTGAATTTCTGTAAGTCTGATTCATATATTTTTTTATAACTTGTGTCATTTTCATAATCTTTAGCTTGTTTGAAATAGTAGGAACAAATTTGATTGGTTTTGTGGGCATGTCTTCTGGTTTGCTTTCATTTCCTCTAGGGATTTTTTTTTTTGTAACTTAAAAAATTATTTTTAATTATAGTTGACAAGTTTTTAAAATATAACTTAATACAAAAGGGGGAGTCTGATACTTTTCTGTTGCTCATTTTTAATGTGAACTTTTAGGAGGAATAATTATAATTGCCCAATTCTCTGTTGTTTAGTGTAATATTAAAAAATACGGTGGCTTGCTTTCTGAGCTTTCTCTGGCTTTGTTTTCCTGTAGCTCTGTTGTCCCCATTATGCTTGCTTTTGGTTCTACTCCAGCAGTTTTTCATCCGTGTAGGGTACTGCCCTGGCAGGGGAGCTCTGGTGGGCTTTTCAAAGTGCTCAGGGACTAGACTGCTCTAGACTTACAGATCTTCTGCCGCCCGTTTTACTTACCCACTGTGCAGGGTGTAAGACTCTTGAGTTTTAGTTGTCTTCTCCAGCTGGCCTGCCGTACTCTCAAGTGAACACTATTGTCTATCAGGGGCTCTTCTTTCCTCAGGTCTATCAGTTACCCAGTTGCTTCCTTCTGCTTTATCATTTACAGGCCCTAATAATGTGTAGGTCGTGTGGCTGTTGGTGTTTTGTGGGCTACACCCCCTTGTATTTTGGGGTTTGTAGAGATGCCATGTTACCTAGTTTTGTTGTGAATATGGTCCATGGGTTTTTTACTTTGTTATCTAGTTGCTCTGTCTTTATGTGGAAATTGGGGAAAACCCCAAATCTATGCTGCTACCACCACCTCTGTCTTCCAGAGTCTCCTAGTGCATTAACTTCAGATAGCATCTTTACTCCTCTGTGTAAGATGGGAGTGTACTCCCCTTTTCCCCTGTCCTATTTTCTTAGTTTTTCACATCATTGCCTGTGTTTGCTTGATCCTTCAGGTGACCAGTATGCATTGAAAATGAGGTTTGTGGACCACGTGTTTGATGAGCAAGTGATAGATTCTCTGACTGTGAAGATCATCTTGCCCGAAGGAGCCAGGTGAGTGTGACTGTTCCTTTCCTCTGTTCCCATTTCTGTGGTGGTGCCCTTGGTTACTCAAAGCAAATCTGTGTGGAGGAGGCACAGAGTAAGTGCTCAGTATATAGTTTTTAAAATATATATATATTTTTTTATTGATTTCAAAGAGGAAGGGAGAGGAAGAGAGAGAGAGAGAGACATCAAGGATCATTGATTGGCTGCCTCCTGCACGTCCCACACTGGGGATTGAGTCCACAACCCAGGCATGTGCCTGGGAATCGAACTGTGACCTCCTCGTTCATAGGCCAATGCTCAACCACTGAGCCACGCTGGCCGGTTGTCAGTATATATCTTTGACAGAAGCCTGTAGGGACCTTTTGACTGGAGTTTAAGTGGAAAAGTTAGATTCAGATGAGGGAACAAGATTTATTTATGAAATATTCCTCAAACACTGCTTTTGTGTGACAGGAGCAGTCTCCAAAGTCACCTTAGCAGGCCACAATGATGGCCTGAATCTGATGGGATGATCTGCAATAGGAAATAATTCAAAGTCAGGACAGTCAGGCAGCCCTTGTGCTGTGTTAATAGAATGAAGAAGAGCCCTGGCTTGTTTGGCTCAGTGGATAGAGCATCAGTCTGCAGACTGAAGGGTCCTAAGTTTGATTCTCGTCAAGGGCACATGCCCGGGTTGCAGGCTCGATCCCCAGTAGGGGGTGTGCAGGATGCAGCCGATTGATGATTCTTTCTCATTAATATTTCTCTCTCTCCTTCTCCCTTCCTCTCTGAAATCAATAAAGATATATTAAAAAGAAAAAAAAAAAGAATGAAGAAGGGTATGGGTTCCATAGACCAGGTTCAAAAAGGTGGGCACAGGAGGGAGAGGAGAGGATCTCAGATGGTGTATTAGCGTTCCATGGTTACAAGGTGTAGGAGCTGTCTTTGGTCAATTTAAGCAGAAAGGAGTGGACTTGGAAGAATACTGGATATCCTAAAATGACAGCATAGGCTGAGGAAAGCCAGAGCCAGAGTATCTCCAGGACTCCAGTTGGCTAAAACTGATGGACACACACAGGGGCACCTGCCCTTGGCGTGAGCAACAAATACCTTTTTGTAGGCTTTTTGTCATTTTACTCTTGATTCATTTTAAAGGGAAACATCTACTTGGCCTCCTTGGGTTATTTGTCTACTCTGATCACCAGAAGGAGAGGCACCTTGATTGTTCTTCCTGTGGAAGACATTCAGTTGGGGAATGGGTAGTTCTTCCAAGTAAAACTAGAGTGCTGTTGACTAGGAGAAGGGAGAATGAGTGTGTGTAGGCAAAAGCAGGACATGTCCAACTATGCCCTGTAACAAATTTCCAGTCTGTGAAGAGACAGACCATTTGGAGTAACTTTTCAGGAGCCTCTTCAAGTCCCTGAGAGGCTCTTGTTGGGTAGAATGCACACAGTTCTGTGATCTCTGTGATTCCAAGGGGTGGGCCAGTAGTGGTGAGCCCTTATGAGTGCAGGTTGCAGGGAGATAGACAGTTGTTGCCTTAGCAGAAGAATGGTCTCATAGTCAGGACTTTCTGGCAGTGGGTCAGCTGCCTCAGGTGGTCAGGTGTTCCTGGTGCTGGTAGGGGAGCAGAGTGGAGTGTGAACTTAGTGACCCTGAAAGGCCCCCTGGATTGAGCCTTGGAATTTTCTAACCCTAAATAAACCTAGTTGGTCAGTGCAGTTTGTCTGAGGCTATATTATATTCCCATCTGCCTCCAGGAACATCCAAGTTGACAGTCCCTATGAAATCAGCCGTGCCCCAGATGAGCTGCACTACACCTACCTGGACACATTTGGCCGCCCTGTGATTGTTGCCTACAAAAAAAATCTGGTAGAACAGCACATTCAGGACATTGTGGTACGTGACTCCACACTTCTGTCTCCTATGCCTCCGTTCACAGAGAATGGGTGCTGGGGGCCAGGTCTTGCCTATCTTTCCCTCCTCAGGCTGGAGTGGTTTGAACATAGCATCCTCTGTGGGTAGGGCTGGGCAGGTGGGGTGTGGGGCACCCTGGATGATTGTTGGCTTGGTGAAGCCCCTTTTGGCTCCCAGGTTTCTGAGTCCGTGTAGGCCTGTCACAACCCATCTTCTTGGTTCTCCCCCCCAGGTGCACTATACATTCAACAAGGTGCTCATGCTGCAGGAGCCCCTGCTGGTAGTGGCTGCTTTCTACATCTTGTTCTTCACAGTCATCATCTATGTCAGATTGGATTTTTCTATCACAAAGGTACCCTTGTGTCTTTCTTCTTGTCAGTTTGTCATTTTGCACCCTTGATAATGTGTTTCACTAGCTTTACTGAGCATTAGTCATCACAGTATACCAATGTAGCACCTTGTAGCCCAGAAGATTCTCTGCTGCCTGTGGCTTCTGCTAATCCTTTCTGTAAAGATAACCTTGTTTTTGTTGCTGTGATCATGGAGCACGCACAGGTTGCTAATGGTGAATGAGTACTGTGGGATCAGGGCAGCGGACACAGTGTGTACTTTTAAGGGCCCAAAAGGCTACCCTGAGTAGGTGAGGTGCAGAAAAGGTGGGCAGGGCACTCAGCCAGCGGGAACAGTCTGTGGGACAGAAGAGAGGGCTCACGGGGACTTGTGGGTAGCAGTAGTATAAAAGTAAGCAAAAAAGTTGATCCAGCTGGTTCCATAAACCAGTAAGGCTGCCCAAGGCTCAAGGTGGTGCAGTTGGGATAGTTGCTAACAAACTTTGTCATGCAGAAGGGTTGAGTCTAGGTTTTATTATGAAATAGCCCTATCTTTTTTTAAAAAATATATTTTATTGATTTTTTACAGAGAGGAAGGGAGAGGGATAGAGAGTTAGAAACATCGATGAGAGAGAAACATCGATCAGCTGCCTCCTGCACAGCCCCTACTGGGGATGTGCCCGCAACCCAGATACATGCCCTTGACCGGAATCGAACCTGGGACATTTCAGTCCGCAGGCCGACGCTCTATCCACTGAGCCAAACCGGTCTCGGCAACCCTATCTTTTAAGCTATCAAAATTGCTTTTGTTTTATTGATTAAAAAAATTTTACATTTATAGAAACATTACAAGAAAGATAAAAATAACTCTGTACTGGTATACTCATCACCTAGACATAGCAGTTAACATTTGACCTCTATACATCATTATTTTTCTGAACCATTTGAGAAGTTTGCAGACATTTGTGCTCCTTTACTGTTGAATACTTAAGCGTGTATGCAACCTGAGAGCAAGGGTATTCTCTTACATAACCACGATGCAATGATCAAATTCAGGAAATGTAATTCAGTTCATGTCCAAATGCTGCTGACTATCCCAGTGATAACTTTTATAACAATTATTTTTCATATTCCAGAATCCAATTCAGGATCATGCAGCTCATTTAGTTATCAGAGCTCCCTAGTCTCTCTCTTTTTTTAAAAAAATATATTTTATTGATTTTTTTTACAGAGAGGAAGGGAGAGGGATAGTTAGAAACGTTGATCAGCTACCTCCTGCACACCCCCTACTGGGGATGTGCCTGCAACCAAGGTACATGCCCTTGACCGGAATCGAACCTGGGACCCTTCAGTCCGCAGGCCAACCCTCTATCCACTGAGCCAAACCGGTTTCAGCACCCCTAGTATCTTTTAATCTGGCACAGTTCCTCAGCCTTTCTTTGTCTTTAATGACCTTGACATATTTGAAGTTTAGAGACCTTTTGAAGTTTGTAGACTGTCCTTAGTTTACATTTACCTTATGTTTCTTCCTGATTAAATTCAGATTACGCATTTTTGGCAAGAACACTATATAGTGATGCTGCATTTGTAGTGTGTCACATCAGGAGTTCCTAGTGTTGGTGATATTAACTCTTTTTTTGAATATATTTTTATTGATTTCAGAGAGGAAGGGAGGGCGGGGGGAGAGAGAGAAACATCAGTGATGAGAGAGAATCATTGATTGGCTGCCTCCTGCACACCCCCTACTGGGGATCATGCTTGCAACCAGGGCATGTGCCCTTGACCAGAATCAAACCTGGGACCCTTCAGTCCACAGGCGGACGCTTTATCCACAGAGCCAAACTGGCTAGGGCTCCATTGATTTTTGGAGAGAGTGGGAGGGGGAGATATAGAGACAGAAACATCGATGTGAGAGAGACACATTGATTGGTTGCTTCCTGTATGCACCTGACCAGAGGGCCAGGGATTGAGCCTGCAACCGAGGTATGTGTGTCCTGGGCCAGAATCTAACCTGGGACCCTTCAGTCCACGGGCTGACACTCTATCCACTGAGCCAAACCAGTTAGTGCTCCCTTGAAGTATTTTAAGGAGAGACATATTGGACATCCTGGAATCTTGCCCTTACCTGAGCTGAGATTTCTCTCTCCTCAGCACCTTATGTCTTTCATGGTGCACTCTGGCATTAGTATATCTGTTTGTCTGCCCTGGTGGACTTTGAAGTGAACATCTGTTTCATGTTCATGTCCCCAGTCTTTCCCATTGCTGAACTGGCCCAGATTCAGTGTTAGTACAAGTTTGATTCTCTGACTTCCCAAGAAGATGGCTTTTTTTGTTTGCACAGCTGGTAGTGGGTGATGTTTGGAGGTGAAGGTTGGAGTGGGTTCAGGCCTGGTTTCGTCTTATACTGTCTCTCCTCCAGGATCCGGCTGCGGAAGCCAGGATGAAGGTGGCTTGCATCACAGAGCAGGTCTTGACCCTGGTCAATAAGAGACTAGGTCTCTACCGTCACTTTGACGAGACTGTCAATAGGTATAAGCAGTCCCGGGATGTGTCCACCCTCAACAGTGGCAAGAAGAGCCTGGAGACGGAACACAAAGCCTTGACCAGTGAGATTGCACTGCTGCAGTCCAGGCTGAAGACGGAGGGCTCTGACCTGTGCGATAAGGTAGGTGTCTGTCACTGCTGTCGCTTGGCTCGTTGCTTGCCATATCCCATCTTCGAGGGTTGCACCCCACTATCTAGACTAGAGCATCATATAGCTGCTCTGTCTGGGTCAGCCACCAGGCAGCTCTTGCTCACCGCTGGCTTGTGGTGTGATACTGCACCCAGTGGCATTGTGTCTATCCTTGTGGTGGAACAGAAAGTTTGGGTGTCTTGGATCTGGGCTGGGTGTGGGGAAAACTCTCCTAGATTATATAGCCTGTCTGTCCTCACAGCTGGTACTGACAGCAGCTGCTTCCTCCTTGGAAGCCAGTCTGAACCACGTGAGAAGAACCAGACTTAGAAGAGGGGTTAAGTCCAGGCTCTGATTCAGACTTTGTAAACCTAGGCCTGTTATCGCACTCTGTACCTCAGTTGCTGTAAACTGGAATGCTATTAGTATTATCTCATAGTGGTTGTGAGTGTGAAATAAGTTTGACATGCTTGATGTAAAGGGCTGAGAATCCTGCCTAGGACATGCTGTGTGAGTTCCTGTGACCTATAAATGAGGAGGGGAACCTCCCCTCCCCCTGGAGGTGTCCTTTAGAGTTCCGGACCACAATCTCCATGTGCCACGCCCCAGCATTCTCCTTATCCTGTGCTGTTTTCTTTATAGCAGCTACCATTTTCTAAAACTGTTTATTCGTGTGCTTAAGTATTAATAATCTGTCAGCTTCTTGTAGGGCAGATGCCTTATCTGTCTTTAGTGCTTTTTCCAGAACCTAGAATCATGCCTAGCACTATGGCTCACTAAATATTTGTTGAATGTTGAGTGAATGGGGGTATAAAAGTCCTCAATCTGACATCGATTTGGTGATAACACAGGAGTCATTCAGATCTAATATCACACCCCAGCCAGTGGTCCTTTGCCTATGTGAATTTCTGCACCTAATTTGATAATCAAAGGGAAGAGAATGAATGTTCCTTGAGTACCTACTGTATGCCTGGCACCGCCGTGTTTAAGTGATTTTACATATTTTCCCATTCATTTCTTGCAATCCTCTTCTACAGCTAAGGCCCAGGGATGGTGAAGGGTTTTGTTCACAAGGGTCGGAGCTTGAAGGAACAGGGTTTGTGAGGGGGGTGAGTGGGTTGAGGCTGGTATTTGAAGCCAAGCCTGTCTCCCTTCACAATCAGCCCCTGTGGCCTGGGAGTTCTGGAATCTGTTGGCATGGGAGGTGGTGAGCCTTGCTGAATGAGGGTGAGAGGACCACTCTCAAGCCTTGCCCTGCTCTTGCCTTGGCTAGGTGAGCGAAATGCAGAAACTGGATGCACAGGTCAAGGAGCTGGTGCTGAAGTCGGCAGTGGAAGCTGAGCGGCTGGTGGCTGGCAAGCTCAAGAAAGACACGTATATCGAGAATGAAAAGCTCATCTCAGGAAAGCGACAGGAGCTGGTCACCAAGATTGACCACATCCTGGATGCTCTGTAGGCTCTGCCAGTTGTCTACTGGGTGAGCCCAGGGTGCTGCACTTACGGCAGGTGTGTGTGTGTGTGTGTGTGGGTGGGGGGATGAACGTTGAGGCCAGTGAATGCTGGCATCTGCGTTTTATAAAAGGCCTTCAAGGAAGAGAAGCCAGGCCCTGCCTTAGACAAAACAAAAAGCTTAGTTTTTCCCCCTAAACTGTTCCTTTAAAAAAAATTTAAAAACAAACAACTGAAACCACACACACACACACACACATCAAAACTTAAATTTCATTAAAAATAAAATACCTTTGTGTTTTTGAACAAATAAATTTTCAATATTTGATTGGTTTTGTTTTATTCTGAAGCCTAGGATATTCTTTCAAGCCTGTAAGCTCCTTGTTTTATGCCCTTTTAATTCCTGATGTTGGAGTATTTTGCAAGTGTATGCATGTTTTTTAAAACATGTGTGAACAAAAGAAAATAAAACAGGGACTGTGAAACATTTGTTTTGTCCTGTTGACATCTCTCATAACTTCTTGAGCATAATGCTTTTATCAAGTGCTTTTTATTGATTAAATAATGGACTTACTCCTTAGAGCAAGGGTGTATACAAGTGTAAGTATCTATTTATATATATAAAAGGCAAAGTGACCGACCGAACATATGTCTGACCGACTGACTGGTACATATGACGTGCAATTTGACTTGTGCATATGCGATACATATAAAGCTCTTGCTGGCACCAATCGCATGCATGTTTTAATTTTATAATACTACTAGAGGCCTGATGCACGAAATTTGTGTAAGTGCCTTGGCCCCCACTGCCATGGCGGCCACTTCTGCCGTGGCCCCCGCCCACTACGGCTTTGTCCAGAAGGAAGGACGTCTGGAAGGATGTCTGGTCTAATTAGCATATTATACTTTTACTATTATAGATACTATATATACTATTTTGATGTAATTTTTTGCAGCAACGTAATTACTGCATGAATCTTCTAATCAATTTCCTTTCAATGTGCATGAATCTATGCACCGAGCCACTAGTTGGTTATATATTAGAACAGTGAGGCCATAAAGGTGAAGTGGCCTTCATAAGAACAGTGTGGAGGAAGTGAGGGCTCTGTTCTTGCAGTTTTTGATTATCTATTCTTCATCACATGCTCTATTGGGCACTAAAGAAATGATGATGAACAAAGCAGAATGATTCTTATGGAGGACAGATAGTAAAATGATCAAATACAATTTCATAATTACAAACTGACAAAACCTTGTGAGGAAAGGGGAAAGGGTCCTCTGATGTTATATACTGGACACTTAATCTGCAAAGGAACTGGGGGAAGTTTCATCGAAGGAAGTGACTTTTTTTTTTAATCCTCACCGGAGGATATTTTTCCATTGATTTTTAGAGTGGAAGAGAGGGAAAGACGGAAATATCGATGTGAGAGAAACACATCGAGTGGTTGCCTCCTGCACACGCCTGACCAGGGCCTGGGCTGGGGAGGAGCCTATGACTGAGATACGTGCCCTTGATCTGAATCGAACCTGGACCCTTCGGTCTACAGGCCGACGCTCTATCCACTGAGCCAAACCGGCCAGGGAGGGAAGGGACTTTTGAGTTGAGCTCTGGAGGAGTTACACAGATGGCAGGGGAGGGTGCAGCGGAGAGTGTTCCAGGTAGAGAGCATAGCATGGGCAAAAGCCCTGGGGCAGCCTGGGGCTTGGCATGAAGTTGAATGCAGAGAGTCAGGTGGACAGGGTACAACCAAGGGCTGCAGAGGAAAAGTATAGAACAGGGTAAGGCTGTATACGTTTGTTAAAGCTTTTGGCTTTATCCTCAAAGGAAGGGAAGACGGACGAGTGTGTGAGAGACATGCTTAGATTTATATTTCGGGCTGAGAATGAACTACTGAAGGCTGGAGGATGTGGGGGAAAACCTGAGAGCCTCTTGTAATCTAGGCAAAAGGTGATGGCTTGGGCAAGGGTGGTGATGTGCCAATGTGGATGGATTTGAGAGATTTACTGGTAGATGGGCAATGAGCAGTGCTAGAGGAGTGCCATGCTTTCTCCCACTCTTCTCTGGTATATACACCTCGTCTTCACCTAGTTAATTCCTATGCATCCTTCAGGTAACAGTTTAAAGCTTCTGTCTCATGGGAGCCTTCTCGGACCTCTCAGACTCAATCAAATCCTATTGTACCCTCTTGTTCTGTCTCCACATCATACTGCACAGTTAGAATGTGTGATTAATGGACTAGCTCTGATAGTGCCGAGTTTTGTCTGGTATGCTTACCCTTACATTACCAGCTAGATGTTAAGATCAGTGTATTACACATAGTAGGTGGCTTACTGAATGAATGAATAGCTTAAATATTGGTGTGGTGGGTTGAGGGATGATTGTGCCATTCATTTAATATGGGAAGATCTGTAAGGCCAGGTTTGAGGAAGATAATGATGAGTGGTTTCAGACATGGTAAGGTGGGTGTTCTAAGGACATCCAAGTGGGAATGTCTATGGGCAGTTGGATATTTAGTCCTGCAGCTCAGAATGGCATGGAAATGATAAATGTGGGGGTCGTTCAGCATGAAGATGGCTGTGGAAATGGTGAAATGGCGGTTGGGGTGGGTGAGGGTGCCTAGGAAGGGTGCTGAGTAAAGTCCTGAACATTAGGACTTTAAAGTATAGTGGCTTCTTGGAGTACACCACTGCACACAAGTTGAGAAAGTGGCCGTTGAGGCAAGAGAAAGGCTTGGACCATGTGGTGTCATGGAAGCCAAGTGGAAAGATGTTTCAAGGAAGAGCAATCATTGCTGCTGTGAGTTTCCAAGCAAAAGTAAGAATGGGAGAGGTCTGTTGGTTTTAGAATGGGTCATTGAAGTCATTCTTTGGTGACTTAGAACTTGGTTGAACGTTAGGAATGGGATTGGCCTGAGGTGAGGCTCCTTTTTTATTTTATTTTATTTATTTTATTTTTTTAAATATGTTTTATTGATTTTTTACAGAGAGGAAGGGAGAGGGAGAGAGAGTTAGAAACATCGATGAGAGAGAAACATCGAGCAGCCGCCTCCCGCACATCCCCCACTGGGGAAGCGCCCGCAACTCAGGCACATGCCCCCGACCGGAATTGAACCCGGGACCCCTCAGTCCGCAGGCCGACGCTCCATCCACTGAGCCAAACCAGGTAGGGCTCCTTTTGAATACTGACTGCATTTCACATCTAGTTGTGAAAGGGATGAGACCAGAGTAGCTATTAGAAGAATGTGCAGCTGAAAATTTTAAGATGGAAGAGATTCGTATTAAATGCTAGTGGGAAAGATTCAGTGGAAAATCGGAGGCGGAACATAGAGGAGAGAAAATGATTGTGGACAACGTGAGGTATGCGGTCAAAAGGACATTGGAAGGACGGGGACTTAGTCTGGGAGAGGACACTCCTTCAGTAGTGGGGCCCTGCAGTCAGGGTCTGCGTGGAAATCCGAATACTGCCTTCCACTGTGACCGTAGGCAAGGCTTTGGGCATCAGTTCCCTCATTTGTAAAACGAAGCAGTGCTATATTAGCTACTTGGTAGGATGGCTTTAAGGATCACATGAGGTAATAAGTATAAAGTGGCATATTGCAACTGCTTGTTAAGAATTAGCAAATGTTTCCATTTCCTCTCATTTTATCTCCATTTCTCCAATCAGTTTCTGGCCTGAGCCCGAGTCCTTGGGGTATCCTGTCTTCAAGGGCTGGAAACTGGAGGCTGCACTTGACCAGTGTTTACACGGTGTTCTCCTCGTGGGCCTGGCCCACTCACACCTAGTTTCTGGTGCCCCTAGGTAGGACCAAGCCAGGCTTCCTCCTGTTCCCCCAGAATTGCCCAACTGACTGGCCCAGCAGCCCTGGAGCGCCGCCTCTGCTTCTCTAAGGAACCCCAGGTGCAGCTATGTGCTTTAGGGCTGGGGCCCTGGTCACCCTGGCCAGGTACCACCTCAGCCCATTTGGCCAGTTACTTCACGAGCCTGGAAAAGAAGGAAAAGCTGGCAAGGGTTCATGCTGGTGGCCCACTTGCAGGCCTAGGCAGGGAGCTGCACTGTGCCCTTGTGTGTCTCAACCCCGTGGACACGTCACTGAAGTGAGGCCAAGTGTGCAGGCGCAGATGGCTGCTGGGCTAGAAAAGCAGCGCATGCACGATGCTGCACCTGTGTTAAAGGCAGGATAGGTGCTCTGGCTGTGGCACCACCTAGGGACGCAGGTCTGGGAACTGGGTCTGGGGTCAGTGCGGGAGCTGGGCTGCAGCACAGATGTCTAGTGATGGGGACTTGGGCTCCCGGATTCCCTATGCTGGCTGTGGGCTAGCTGGATGGCACAAAGCCCGTGACTCACCCAGCGCCCTGGGCTGGGGGCTACAGTGAAGCATCCTGCACCCAACTCCGCTCCTCCCGCCCCATCCCCCCCACCCCCCCAGCCTCCTCTCATCCTTAGCTCTGGGTGTAGCATCTTTGGCCATGGGTAATCCTGCACCTCCCTAACCCTTGCTTTCCCTGTGGCAAGCATGGCCTCAGTAACTCCTAGGGTTAGGGTTGAAGTGAGGCCCTGTGTATAAAGCCTTGATCAAGGCTTACCCCCCACCCCAGGCAAAGTGAGGTGTCCTAGATACCTTTCACCTCTTATTTTGTCTCAGACCCAGTCTATCCTATCTGTGGCCCTCACACGGTGTGTGCCTGGAGAGGAGCGCTCCCCCAACCCCCCAGAGTTCCAGAACAATGTTCATACCCCCAGGCCAGACCCATCTGTCCAGCCTTGACCAAGTTGCCTGATCCCAGTGGCCTGACCCCAGCATCCATTATGGCCTCAGCTTTCAGGTGCCCCTACTGCCATAGGTGGTCGTGCAGCAGGCCCCTGTCCTGGAGCAGCTGCCTGCAGCCCTGCTCCTGGCTTTGAACGGGGAAAACACAGCTGAAGAAGGAGGGCTGGGTGTCACTTTTCCTCCTCCATTTGTCTTGGAGGCTGACACGGGAGAAAACCCCAAAGGGCTGAATGCACCCTCACAGTTTCACCACAAGTATCCTGACCGGGCATCTGGTGCCGAGCTGATAGTGCAGGCCCCGGCCGCAGCCCTGCGGAAACCGTGCTGCCAGCAGTTGGGGGCGGCAGGCTCAGACAGGAAACGCCCCCCGACGAACCCCAGGGCCCATGGCCTCGGCACAGGCTTGCTGCCTCGGACCAGGCCTGGCGCCATTTTGAAGTTGGGCTGGATTCTGGGGCTCTGGCCTGG